GTGGCCAGCCCTGACTATTGCAGGCCTTTGGGAGTGAACCAACAGATAGCTGCCTTTCAAATGAAATGAATAATTAAAAAATTGTTTTAATTCACAAAGGAAAATACTGGGACAGGCGTTTGACATGGTGGCTAAAACACCAGTTGGTACTTCTGCATCTCATACAAGTAGAGTACCTGAGGTCAAGTCTCAGCTCTGCTCTTGATTCCTGCTTCCTGCTAAGGTACACTCTGGGAGGCAGCAGACAATCACTCAAGTAGTCGGGGCCCTGCCACCCATGTTGGAGACCTGTACTAAGTTACCATCTCCTGGCTTTGGCCTGGTCCTACTGTGATTATTGTAGGCATTTGAGGAGTGAACTAGTGGATGCTAGATCTATATCTGTACGTCTGTAAGTCTGTTTCTCTCTTGGTCTCTTTCCTACACACACACACACACACAAACACAGTCTCTCTGCCTTTCAAATAAAAAGAGGAGGAGGAGGAAGAGAAAAAAATATAGATATAATCTTCATGACCTTGAATTAAGAAATGGTTTCTTAGATATGACACTAAAATTAGAAGCAATAAAAAATTGGCCTTTTTCAAAAACATTTGTGCTTCAAAAGATACCATCAAGAAAGTAAAAACATAACCCACAGAATGGAAGAAAAAAAGATCTCTTATAACTCAACAATAAAAAGAAATACCAATTTTAAAAATGGGCAAGGGCTTGAATAGATATTTCTCCCAAGAATATAAATAAATGGCCAATAGCAATGAAGAAATGTTCAACATCATTAGCCATCAAGGAAATGCAAATCAAAACCACACTGAGATATCACTTCACACCCACTAAAAAGATTATAATTAAAAAACCACAGACAATAATAAGCATTGGCTAGGCTGTGGAGAAACTGGAACCTTTATACATTGCATATGGGTATATAAAATGGTATGCTCACTCTGCAAAACAGTTTGAGGATGATTTTTATGTACTGATGTGGAATGACTTCCAAGATAGCTTATGGATAAGTAAAAAAAAAAGCAAGAAACACACTGTGTACACAACCACTTGTTCATAAAAGAAAAATATATACATATATTTGCAACATAAGAAAATAAAAACATTAGTTGCTTCTGATGATGTGAGCTGAGTGGCTGGAAGACAGGAGTAATATGAGAGGCAGTATTAGTACTTAAAAGATAAAAGAGGATATAAAATAAGTTTATACTTTTTATGCTTTAAATTCTGAATCATGTGAAGGCATTATCTATTAAAAATTAGAGGTGGGCATTCTAGTGGTTAGGATGCTAGTTAAGCTACTAGTATCCCATATCAGACTGCCTGAATTCAACAGTGCTGGTTCCCAATGCTAGCTTTCCACCAACACAGACTCTGGGAGGTAGCAGGTAATGTCTCAAATAGTTGGGTCCCTGCCATCCATATGGGAGACTGATATTGATTTCCTGGTTCTTGGCTCTGGTTCCAGCCCAGTGTTGACCATTGTCAGCATGTGGAAAGTAAATCAACAGATAGGAGCTGTCCCATTCTCTCTCTCTCTCTGTATCAAACTCTCTCTCTCTCTCTCTCTCTTTCTCTCTCTCTCTCCCTCTCTCTCTCTCTCTCTCTCACACACACACACAAATTAAAAAAAAAAAAACTTAAAAATAAAATTAAAACATTTAAGTGCACGTTCCAAGGTTTGTACCAACTGTTATTGAAAGCTGGAGTTGCAGAGTTGCATCCCTTCAGAAATTTATGTTGCTTTCTATCATAGAACATACATTAGTGCAGAGGGTATAGTGCAAGAAAATTACATAGAGAAGCTTCAAATCCAACTAAAAATAAAGTAACTACTACTGAACTCCAATTGAGTGTATTTATGCTACAAAGTAGGCCCAATGTTGCCAGATCATACAATTTTTCACAAGAAACAGGAAATAAAAAGTATATGTGAAATGTTCATATCTTTTTTCTATTAGAGAGGCAGCAAGACAGAGAAAAGCAGAGAGAAATACAGAAAGCTTCCATCCACTGGCTCACTCCCCAAATGCCTGCAACAGCTAGGACTAAGCCAATCCCACACTGGGAGCCCAGAACTCAATCTAGCTCTCCCACAATAGAACAAGAGACCCAGCTACTTGATCTATGACTTGCTGTCTCATAGGGTCTAAACTGACAGGACCTGGAATCAAGAATCAGAGACAGTAACTGAACCCAGGCATTCCAATATGGTACACACACATCTCGCCCAGCATCTTAACCACTAGGACAAATACCCACTCTGACATATTCTGAGTTTTAATGTTGGAATTGAACCATGCTAGTGACCAGATTCAGCCCACAGATGACCTGTAAACTTCAATACTGTGGAAAGTCCTGAATTTATTATTATGTGTTCCCAACCTACCTTTGAAACTTTAAGAATTCTGAATATACTTTCCCTATAAAAGTAAACTAAGAGGGGGCCCTTAGTTTAGTAGGGGCCTTGTGGTGTAGAGGGTAGAGCTGATGCCTACAGTGCCGGCATCACATGTGGGTACCGGTTCAAGTCCCAGCTGCTCCACTTCTGATCCAGCTCTCTGCTATGGCTTGGGAGAGCAACGGAGGATGGCCCAAGTCCTTGGGCCCCTGCACCTGCATAGGAGTTCCGGAAGAAGCTCCTGGCACCCAGCTTCGGACTGGCGCAGCTCTGGCTATTGCAGCCATTTGGGGAGTGAACAAGCAGATGGAAGACCTCTCTCTCTCTGCCTCTGCCTCTATGCAGCTCTGCCTTTCAAATAAATAAATAAATAAATCTTTTTAAAAAAAAGTAAAATAAGTAGCAGTTTGGTTTTAAGACCCAGGAAAGAAGGAGACTTATAGAAGTACAGCATATTCATACAGGTAAACTACAGTATTGAATAGCACTAGTATTGCCTCATTTCTATGACTAATCATGTTTATATTAAACAACTTAATCCAGGTTTGGACTTTGGATTTTGTTAAGTCTGAAATGGTGGATATAAAGGTAGCAAATGGGAAGCGAACAACTCCAAAGATCTGAAGGAAAAAGAAGGAGCATTCAAGGTGGCGGTGGGGAGAGTCTTGTGAACAATCTTGGGAAAGAATTAAACTCTTCTATGATAGATAATGGAATAAGCTTGGAGAATTTCTCAGAAGTTCTGTGCCATCTGTAGTCAATAAAATCAATAAGAGAAAGAGAAAAGAAAGAAAAAAGGATGCCTCAGCAGCAGCAACATCTAAAAAGAACTACAGCCCCATCACCACTTCTGGAATTTCCTACAGTCCTTCCAAGGTATGTGATCTCTGGAAGAACTCTGTCAACTGCTCATAAGTCATAAGTCACAAAGTGAACTCAATTTAGCAAAAAAATCTATAAAGCTAAACGTAAGTCCCCAGGACCACTAAATGATTAAAGTAAAATTTATTTTAAGGGTATATTTTGTTGCTAAAGTAGCCATAAATTGACTTTTTCTTTTCATTGAAATTCACCTATACCTGCTTCCATGAACTATGAATCGCAATAGGAATGACTACTGGACTGGCTTTATGGCTATTCCTTTCTATTGATGTAGAAAATTGAGGAGTATCTCTAATAGTTAACAAGGTTTCAGATCATCACTGTATTTGTTACTCCCCATGACTATAGAGATAAAACATATCACATAATTTAGAAGGGGTCCTAATATTATAAAGTTATTGGGACTTTCAAAGTAAGGAGATGATCTTACTGTCTTCTGTTACTATGATTTATTTAACAAGATTTCCAATTCTATATAAGTGTCAAATGCTACAAGAATGCTTTTTTTAAAAAAAAAAAAAACTATTTATTTGAAAGGCAGAGTTACAGAGAGGCAGAGGGAGAAAGAGAAAGAATGAGAGAGGGAGAGAGTCTTTCACCTACTGGTTCACTCTCCAGATGGCTGCAACAAGCGGAGCTGCGTCAATCCGAAGCCAGGAGCCAGGAGGTTCTTTCTGGTCTCCCACAGGAGTGCAACAGCTCACGGACTTGGGCCATCTCTTACTGCTTTTCCAGGCCATAGCAGAGATCTGGATCAGAAGTGGAGCAGCTAGGACTCGAACTGGCACCCATATGGGATGGTAGCACTGCAGGTGGCAGCTTCACCCACTACACTACACCACCAGCCCCTCAAGAATGCTTTTTAAAAAGAATATTTAGCTTATAACTGAGTTAATACAGATTCATTAACATAAGAAAAAGTTCTTGAGTATTTCTTACATTTCTTTGAAAAATAAAGTTACTGGGGCTGGCACTGTGGTGTGAGGTGGGGCTGCTGCCTGAGGTGCCAGCATCCCATATGGGCACCAGTTTGAGTCCTGGCTGCTCCACTTCTGATCCAGCTCTCTGCTGTGGCCAGGGAAAGCAGTAGAGGATGGCCCAAGTGCGTTGTGGCCAACTGGGGAGTAAGCTAGTAGAAGGAAGACCTCTCTCTCTGCCCCTCCTTCTCTCTCTGTGTAACTCTGACTTTCAAATAAATTAATAAATATTTTTTAAAAATAATAAAAGAAAAGAAAAGAAGGTTACTGTGCCCCACCAAGCATCAAGGAAAGTAAGAAGAAAAAAATGTGAATGCAAATATGAGACTTCAGGTTTTGAACTTTACCAGTCAATCTATATTGATACAATGATTGTTTCTAAAGAAAAATGTCAAAGCATTTTTGATATTTTACAATTTTGAGAGACAAGCACTGTAGAATAGCAGGTAAAGCCTCCGCCTGTAGTGCCAGCATCCCATATGGGTGCCAGTTCGAGTCCCAGCTATCCTACTTCCTATCAAGCTTCCTGCCTGGGAAAGCAGCAGAAGATGGTCCAAGTCCTTGGGCCCCTGCCTCCCACGTGAGAGACCCGGAAGACGCTCCTGACTCCTGGCTTTGGACCAGCTCAGCTTTGGCCACTGAGGCCATTTGGAGAGTGAACCAGTGGATGGAAGATCTCTCTTTCTGCCTCGCCTTATATAATTTTGAAAAACAAAATTATCAATTATAAAACATACCTTGTTGAGCTAATGTTGATCTGAGCATCCCAGTCTTTGACCAAATTTTTATTTGTCCATCTTCTCCAACTGTATATAAAAAAAAATGATATTTTTATCTACAGGAAACAATTTAAACATTAAATTTGCATATAAAAGTCACCAGTATCAACATTAACACATATTTAATACTCAAATACAATTTACTCCAAATGACCGTTCTTCAAAACTGAAAATTTAATAGAAATGACTGAAACAATTTTATCAAAATGGCCTAACTTCTGTATTACAGTTTTATTTTTTCTTTCAATCTTAGATTAAGAGGATATTATTATAAGAGGCCATTATTATAATATTATCATAAGAGGATATTATTCAAATAATGCTTCAGTTGGCATTGAACTCTCCATTTTATAATTCTATGAAAAATGTTTTCTAAGTCAAATTCCATTAAGTTAGAGCAGCACTGTGAAGATGTTCATGTGGCAAAGAGTTAAGACTCTTGCCAACAGCTACGTTGAATAAACCATCAAAGTAGAACTTGACAAGCCTAGTCAAGCCTTCATATGACTGAAGCCCTATCCAACAACTTGACTGGACACCCATGAGACTCTAAACCAAAAGAACCATCCACCTAATCAGCCCACAGAAAGCCAAATTCCAGTGGGTTAGGGAATTAATGAATTTAAGTAAGAGACTACTACTTTAAACAGCTTGGCTGAAAAAGAAAGAGAGAGGAAGTTGTAGCTAAAAAGCATTGTTTATGTCAAAAAATGTTTATTATTTTGAGTCACTAACTGTTGGGGTAGTTTGTTTTGTAGTAAATGAAAACTAATAAAGGAATTATGAATTCTTAGAGTAGAACAGAGGTAAATAAAGGTCAGTTATATGAGATTATTTGATTTTTAAGGAATTAGAACTTTCATTTACCCCATACTCGACCATCAGAAAATTATAGGACAGTTTCTAAGTTACATGGGAAAATGAACAATAGGACATTCTGTTACGTAACATTTATGCAGCAGTCAGGATCAATACTATCACAATTATTTGCTGTTACACAGTGAAAGACATCATTGGTAAATAAAAATATTGTTTCTTTCAAAAATTTACTTAAAATGTTACTTTTGCATTTTACCTGTAACTAATGCTGTTCCTTCATAATTCCATCTTCCTGCAAGTACTGCTCCACAGTGAGCTTCTACACTTTTTTCTACTCTTCCTAACTTCGAAATCAGATGAAATTTACCTTAAAAAAAAGATATATTTGACAGACCTTTTACTAATTTATTCAATCAACAAATATCTGTTGAGTACTACTACACTGGTGAGCCTAGTACTAAGCACTGAAGCATGAGCAAATAATACTCTTAATCTCAAGGAACACACAAATCTACTGGAGAACAGGCACAAAAACAAAATTAAGAAACCTTGAAACAAGCAGTATAACAGATACAGACACAAATATAGTGCTATGATAGTTCAGAATGATGATACAACTCTGATGAGATATGGCCAAGTAGTACCAAGAGAAATATCAATAAAGCCTTTTTTTTAAGAAGTTTTATAGTCTTGATTTTTTTACAGGCTATGAAAAAGCTAAAGAAATGTATAAAGGAAAGGAATCAAAACAGTTAAATGGATAATTATAGGTTTTCAAGTACTGGCTTTACATGACTTTACACTGTGACAGGCATCAGTTAGATAAAAAGCAGATTAATTAGTTGCCATTCTCAAAAAGTTTGCACATACATAGGCAGAAAGTGAAGAATTTATACCTTTAAAGAACATAGCAAATTATATAAGAGAATTCATGGAGAAAAATCAACTGTACAAATAAGTGATACATCAAGTTGAGAAAGGATCAATGTGGTTTTTGAATGATCATTAAGTCTAGAAATAGCTGGCAATAAAGTGCAGCGAAACTAGAAACTTTCCCCAAAATCAAAAGGTATTTTTCCCTGCAGTGAGAGAATAATGCAGCAGCTGATTCAACATGTCAACTCAGAAATATCATTGTATTTAAATTCACATTTAAACTGATGGCTTTTCAAGATTCTGGCCTAATATCAACAATTCATTATTGTCAAATGCTTAAAATAGCTTTCGATATGCCTAGCGCACCCTGTACCACGTACCCCATTCCAACCAACAAAGTCAGTCTCTTCCCTACAAAGAATATACTTTATTTGTAGATCTGCTGTAGTATTTGTTTAACTGATACCCTAATAAAAAACGGGCTGTGATTCAGTTCAGCACATGGTTTAGTCATATTTTTATTTGTAACAGTGCTTTCATATAATTACCATCTGTCAAATTCAACCAACTCAGTAACCCAAAATGATGCCTTACTTATTCTCTTTTAGCTCTTTGATTTTGATGGCTTTATTCTCCATTCATTCATTTTTCAAGGCCTTCAATAATACACAACTTTTTCTTTCACGTAACTACTGTGCTATTACTCTCTTTATAACACTAACAAATTAATTTGGATATACATTTTTCTTTTTTTTTTTAGAAACCTTTTATTTAGTGGGTACAAATTTCACAAATGCAACTTAGGAATATAGTAATTCTTCCCACCATACCCACCCTCCCATCCCACCTCCTCTTCCCTCTCCCATTCCTAGTCTCATTCTCCATTAACATTCCTTTTCACTTTATACACAGAAGACCAACTCTATCCTAAGTAAAGATTTCAACAATTTGCACACACACACACACAAAATATTTTTTAAAAAGTTTGAGAACAAGTTTTACAGTTAATTCTCATAGTACAATTCATTGAGGCCAGAGGTCCTGCATGGGGAGTTAAGTGCACAGTGACTCTTGTTGTTAATTTAACAATTAACACTCTCAGGTATTACATCAATGATCACCCAAGGCTCTTGACATGAGCTGCCAAGGCTATGGAAGACTTTTGAGTCCACAGCCTCTATCAGTATTCTGGCAAGGCCATAAGCAAAGTAGAGGTTCTCTCCTCCCTTCAGAGAAAAGTACATCCATCCTTCTTTAATGGCCCCTTCTTTCCACTGGGGTCTCACTCACAGAGATCCTTCATGCAGGATGGGTTTTATTTTTTGTTGTTGTTGTTGTTGTTTGCCACAGTGTCTTAGCTTTCCATGCCTGACATGCTCTCATGGACTTTGCAGCCAGAGCAGAATGCCTTCAGAGCTGATTCTGAGGTCAGAGTGCTCTTTGGAGCAACTGTCATTCTATGAGTCTGCTGTGTGAACTGCTTCCCATGTTGGAACATTCTCTTCTTTTTAATTCTATCTATTGTTATTACCAGACACTTGATCTTATTTATATGATCCATTTAACATTTATATCCTATCTATATGATAATTTGACACTTAATATGATCACTTTAACACTTAAGATGGCATTATTACCACCCAGCTTAATGGGATTTGGAGTCCCATGGCAAGTTTTTAGCTGTACACTTAGAAGTAATGCAGGACTATACAGCTTTACAGTTACAAACTTTCTCCTCCTTCTCTTATTCCCACTCTTATTTTTTACTGAAATCTATTTTCAATGACTATATACACATATGATTAACTCTATATTAAGAGTTCAACAAATAGTATGAAGAAGAGAAAAAAAACTTCCTCAACAGTAAAGACAGGGGCTGTTCAAGTCATTGCTTCTCATAGTGTCAATTTCACGTCTACAGATTTCCATTTAGCTGCTCTGTTAGTTATCACAGATCAGGGAGAACATGTGGTATTTGTCCCTTTGGGACTGGCTTACTATGTTGCTCAACAACAACAACAACAAAAGAACCAGAAGAAGACAAAAACCTCAACAGAAGAAACTGTAAAAACGACATATAGGGGCACCCGTTGTGGCACGGCATGTAATCCCAATGCTTCTGAAGCTGACATCCCACATACTAGTGCTGGTTCAAAATGGGAGTGCCAGTCCAAGTCCCTACTACTCTTCTTCCAATTCAGCTTCCTGCTAATACAACTGGGAAAGCAGCAAAAGATGGCCCAAGTCCTTGGGCTCCTGACACCTATGTGGAGACAAAGATGGAGTTTCTAGTTTCTGGCCTCAGCCTGGCAAAGACCTGTCTGTTGTGACCATCTCCTCACGCTTTCCCAGGCCACAGCAGAGAGCTGGATCAGAAGCGGAGCAGCCAGGACTCAAACCGGTGACCATATGGGATGCTGGCACTTCAGCCAGCAGTTTTACCAGCTACTCCATAGCTCCAGCCCCAAGACTTACTTTCTCAATCAGCATCCCATTCTCTTGACTAATGTGATTCACACAATGATGTGTACCTAACCAGGCCAGCAAGAGATAGTGAAGAAGAAGCACTCTTTCTGCTGACATTTCTTATCTAGTATGATAAGCCTTGGACTACTGGCCACCATTAGGTTCTCCATGAGAGGAGAACCTATTCAAGAAATGGTGAGGCATTGTGGTGGAGCAGGTTGGCTCCTCCACTTCTGATCCAGCTCCCAACTAACACTCCTGGGAAAGCTGCAAAAGATAGCTCAAGTACTTGGGCCCCTGCACACAATGTGGGAGATCTGGATAAAGCTTCTGGCTTTGGCCTGGCCCAGCTCTGGCCCTTGTGGCCAATGGGGCAATGAACCAATGGATGGAAGATCTCTGTCTCTCCTTCTGTCTCTGTAACTCTGCCTTTCAAATAAATAAATACATCTTTTAAAGGAGGGAAGGGAAGGGAAGGGGAGGGGTAAGAAGAGATGGGAGGAGAAGGAAGAAAAGAAAGAAATGATGAGAACAGGGACTTGATATAGCTTTGCTTGAAGATCTACGCCCTATAGTTAGGTGAACCAAAAAACTCCATAAGTTGTAAGTCTATGATTTCTGATGAGGATACTCCCAATTAGCACAGTAAAGTACAATACAGATACAATACAATAGTAGGTAAAGTACAATACATATAAAAACAGTTCAAGCATACCTAAGGGAAAAAAATTCATGCTTTCTATTCACCAATAAGAATATAGTCAAATTCTATAAATCTTCAACTTTGTAACTAGAAATTAACATATACTAGAAAAGAAAGGATATATTTAATAGATAGTTTACCAAATGAGTATGCCCATATACTTTAGTGAAGTTATGTTACTAAGAAAAATTTGAAGAAATTAGAAACCAAAACTGGTAACAGTTGAACTCAACTCACAAAAGCAGAGAAAAAGTAAAGTTAAAGGCCCATATTCAATCTCAGTTTATTTTAGTTTCCTTCAAGACAAGTTTTTGGGCCAGCACTGCGGTGCAGCTGGTTAAGCCACTACCTGTGACACAGACATCCCATGTGAGCACTAGTTCGAGTCCCAGCTGCTGCACTTCTGATCCAGCTCCCTACTAATGTGCCTGGGAAAGCACAGGGAGGTGGCCCAAGTACTTGGGCCCCTGTACACATGTTGGAGACCCAGATGGGACTCCATGCTCCTGTCTTTGGTCTGGCCCAACTACGGCCAGTATGGCTATTGGGAGAGTAAACCAGCAGACAGAAGATATCTTTCTCTCTCTAATTCTGCCTTTGAAACAAATAAAATAAATCCTTAAAAAGAAAAAAAAATGTTTTGTAGCCCATAAAAGTATGGATAACATAGTTAAACCTACAAAAATCAACCTTGTAAAACAACTCAAACCATAAATTGCATTAATATATTATATCTTTTAAATACAAAGATGAGCACAGAACACCTACTTAAAACTTACCATCAGAACTTGTGAGGACAAAGCTTTCTGCTTGAGTCTGTTTCTTTACACCAAAACTTTTTGGGAACCAGTGAAGATCTATAGGGTAAATGTCATCAGGAAGCTTTACTATTTGACTTGTTTCACTGGTTAACAAGTTCCACTTCACTATCTGGTGATCATCACTACATGAATACAGCTCTTCAGCAGTAGTCCAGCCCACACAGCTTACTAATTCTTGATGTATCACAATGTTAAGAAGACATAAAATATACAAAAATATCTTAAATATTAATAAGTAAAATAATTCATAGATGCAGATTATGAAGACAAAGTAGAATAGTGTGAAGCATTTTCAGGCTTCTAAAAGTACCTTTCATTATATGATTTTTATATTTTTCTCCATACAAAGAGAATGAACATCTGCCAAAACAGTTGTAAGAATGTAAAGCAGGGGCCTGTGCTACAGCATAGGCTTAAAGCCGCCACATGCAATGCTGACATCCCATTTGGGTACCAGTTTGGTCCCAGCTGCTCAATTTCTTATCCAGCTCTCTCTCTCTCTGCTATGGCCTAGGAAAGCAATAGAACATGGCCCTCAAGTCCTTGGGACCCTGCACCTGCATGGAGACCTAGAAGAAGTTCCTGGTTCGGAACAGCTCAGCTCTGGGTGTTGCGGCCATATGGGGAGTGAACCAGCAGATGGAAGACCTCTCTCACTCTGCCTCTGCCTCTCTGTAACTCTTCCTTTCAAAAAAGAAATAAATCTCTAAAAACAATAATGTAAAGCAAGAGAGACATCCAGATGCCAAAGGGGAAGAAAAGGGTCTAACTACATGAAAATGTAAAACTTACGTTACAAGCAGAAGCTATGGCCCAGCAGATTAAGCCACCACTTGCAACACTGGCATCCAACACTGGAGCTCCAGTTCCAAGTCTTGGCTACTCAGCTTCCAATCCAGCTCCCTAATAATGTACCCCGGAAGACAGTGCAAGATGGCCCAAGCAGTTGGGCCCCTGCTACCCACCCTGCCACAAAATGGAGTTTGGGGCTCCTGGCTTTGGTGTGGCCCAACCCCAGCCATCTCAGCCATTCAGGGAGTAAACAAGTGGTTCTCTCTCCTTCTCTCTCTCTCCCTTTAAATAAATATTAAATCAATCTTTAAATAAATTAAATTAAAAACCTGTGTTACACAAATTCCATAAACAAGGCCAAAAGATACACAAAAGAAACCAAATAGAGCAAAAGGCATGAGAGGTTCTATATACAATGTTGGGAGATAGGTAGGGAGAAAAGGGAACTATATATTTTTTCTTTACATATATCTGCATCACCAAATTTCTTAGGATCAGCATAAGTAAAAAAATCAAGTGTTAAAAGAAGATGGAATCTAAGAGTAAAATATCTTCCTTAAATCACACATTATATCAATTCAGAAACCTAGCAAAAACACCATAGCTTCACAGCTGAAACTAAAATCTTACCAAACTTTTTTTTATTTCACTTATTTATTTATTTTTGACAATAACAAATTTTTTGACAATAAGGACAGGAAATAATTCAATTACAACACTATATCTATAACATGCAAAATGCTAGATGAGGTATGATCTCTAAAAGTCTTACTTTATTCAACATATTTATTTTTGGCCTCCAATTTACCAGAAGGATTTCTACATAAGCTAAGACATTAAAGTAACTGTCACTTCCTCCATCAGGACAGCTGCTTACCTTAGTAGAACTGTGTACCTAGAGAAGGCATTTCAGTTTGTCACTTACAGTGGATGTTTTGTTTTGCTTACATATGAATTTCTCTATTGACAGATCATTCCTGGTTGACCTACTTGTTTTGTTATTGCTACTGTATAATACTTCTTTTACTTCCTTTTTTTCTCATCAATGCTTTATAGGTTTATTTGAATAATCAAAATTTTTCCAAGGAAACAAAAAGAAACAATGTGTTAAAATTATCCAGGGACAATGTAGCTTTTTTAAAGATTTTAAAATATAACAGATTAAGTAGCAACTAAAAGATTTACACCTTTTTTACAGATTATAGAAAGGTTTTAGAAGTCAGCATAAATAGGTAATGATGTGGCACTAGAATACTTAAAACTCAAAATACAACTTAAACAAAAGGATCACCAGACCATTAATGAAAAAAGGCCTAAAATTCTGGCACCCAAACAATGTTAGATAAAACCTAGAAAGAAAGAAGCTTACAGGGCCGGTGCCATGGCTCACTTGGTTAATCTTCCACCTGTGGCGCCGGCATCACATATGGGCGCCGGATTCTGTCCCGGTTGCTCCTCTTCCAGTCCAACTCTCTGCTGCGGCCTGGGAGGACAGTGGAGGATGACCCAAGTGCTTGGGCCCCTGCACCTGCGTGGGAGACCAGGAAGAAGCACCTGGGTCCTGGCTTTGGATCGGCACAGCGCCGGCCATAGCAACCATTTGGGGGGTGAACCAATAGAAGGAAGACCTTTCTCTCTCTCTCTCACTGTCTATATCTCTACCTGTCAAATAAAAAATAAAAAAAGAAAAAGAAGCTTAGGAAAAGAGAAAACACATACACCCTAAAGCAAAACAAAATTAGCTTATCCATAAACAAATTGCTGTAAGTATACATTAAACGTGTATGACATTACAATGAACTACCAGGGCAGCTAAAATTATGGGGGAAATGAGGAGACTACCAGGTCAATAAAGTCCAAAAAGACTGTTGTTATTCTTCAGTTTGGAAAGGTAAAAATAGAAGACATGGTCAAAATTCTAAGACTGTACCACATAAACTCCCGAGAGCACATTTAAAAAGACAATAAAAATTATTTAGGAGAAATAAAAGGAATTACATCTTCACTTAAATAAGCAGACAAGATCATGTGAATAAAAGCATACAAATACAAAAGTTTGAATAAATTTTTTAAAAAGATTTTATTTATTTGACAGGTAGAGTTACAGACAGTGAGAGAGAGACAGAGAGAAAGGTCTTCCTTCCGTTGGTTCAATCTCTAAATGGCTGCTATGGCCAGCACTGCACCAATCCGAAACCAGGAACCAGGTGCTTCTTCCTGGTCTCCCATGCAGGTGCAGGGACCCAAGCACCTGGGCCATCCTCCACTGCTTTCCCAGGCCACAGCAGAGAGCTGGACTGGAAGAGGAGTAATCAGGACTAGAACCCGCACCCATATGCGATGCCAGCGCCGCAGGCAGAGGATTAACCTAGTGTGCCATGGCGCTGGCCCCTTGAATAAATGTTTAAATCAGTGCTTCCCTATTTCTGTTGAAGTACCAGATTTTTTTTTTAATTTCAAATTCACTGCAGATTGACATTTCATTAGATAAAATAAAAATTATTTGAGGCCGGTGCCACGGCTCACTAGGCTAATCCTCCGCCTTGCGGCGCCGGCACACTGGGTTCTAGTCCCGGTCGGGGCGCCGGATTCTGTCCCGGTTGCCCCTCTTCCAGGCCAGCCCTCTGCTGTGGCCCGGGAGTGCAGTGGAGGATGGCCCAAGTCCTTGGGCCCTGCACCCCATGGGAGACCAGGATAAGTACCTGGCTCCTGCCATTGGATCAGCACAGTGCACCAGCCGCAGCGCGCCGGCCGTGGTGGCCATTGGAGGGTGAACCAACGGCAAAAAGGAAGACCTTTCTCTCTGTCTCTCTCTCTCTCACTGTCTACTCTGCCTGTTAAAAAAAAAAAAATTATTTGAACAATGATTTTATATTTGAGGCTGTAACAAAATCAAATTGCTACAGAAATTTCATACTTCTTATTTTCAATTTCTAAACTTACCCCTTCACCGACATGTAATAAGGTTCATTAATGACATTTTGGA